ATAATAATAAACACATTTTTTTGATAAAATAAATAAATTGTGAAACCTATGTTACCAAAATGTACAAATTGTAATATCTCTGTTACAACATTGCTGCTGCATTTCGAACTATAACATATTTGTTAAAAATGTAATGTTTTCTGTTATATAGCATGTTGTTTTCAAGGTTTGTGAGTGTCCAGTGGGAGTTAAAAGTTAGTTTTTGGGTGGATGAGAGAAGTTTCATAACTCTTTTACTTGAATTCTCAAGCACATGCATCTGCTACATTCATTATAAGTTTTATTTTGTTTTAATATCACAGAAAATACTAAATACAGCAGATGGTGTAGGACATGGAAAAGGCACCTCTTTGTATTAATGGGCACCATTTATGAAACAAAAGGTATAGCAGAGTAGGCATAATGAATGTCCAATTGGCAACTTTAGTCAACACCTTGACAAACTGCATTAGGTTTTCTGTCAAAATGAATAGAGATTGTTGGGGACAAGGTGCAGAAATGGGAGAACTTTGAAGAGATAAGCAATGTTGAGCATGCCATAATGAATAATCTCTGAGATATTGCAAACATCCCTAATGTCCCTATAGCTATGGCAAAGGAACCTTCCATCAAAGAATCCTGAGCACAGCATACAACTCTGGCCCACCAGCCCAGCTAAACTAAAATAACCTAATTTAAAGTAAAAAAAATCCCGGATAAGCAAATATTGCCTTAATATAAATTTGTATTTTTACTAAAACTTGGTGTGCTTCGTGTACAACTCCCATATCTGTGCCGTTATCCACTATGTGACTTTGTCTCTGTGCAGGAGCTTTCTGTATTAAAGACCAGTCACTGCTGCTCTCTCTCTCCTTGTACGGAGCGACTGGTCTTGCATCTGCCCCCTCCTGTATTTCCTGCAGGCTGCCTGTAGTGGGTGAGCCGGCTGAGTCTCTCCCACAGCTCTGCTCTCTGCAAATACTGTAAGGAATGCCTAAAAACTGGAGAGGACAATTTTCTTACGGCAACCAATCAGCTTCTCTCTTCAGTTTGTTCAGTTAAAGATGAACTCCAGGAATTTTTCTAAGGTATATTGGAGCTACTGCAAGGGTTAAGTGCTTGTTTGTGTCTAGATGCTAAAATAAAAAAGTAAAAAAGATATACTCACCCGAAGCTCCGAGCCAGCCAGCTGTCACAGTGCTCCCTCCAGCCTGTCTCCCCCCTCCCTGCAGCATTGAAATCTTCTTCAGCAGCCTCAAGTCTATAGGCTATAGATGCCTTAGACCACTGCAGAGGAGGCAGAGAGGCATTGGATGGAACAGTCTAAGAACAAGCTGGCTTAGAGCTTTGGGTGAGTATAACTTTTTACAAGCACTTTATACGAGCACTTAACCCTTGCAGTGCGGGGGGTAACCATACTGCAAAGGTTAATAAAACATTTGAACACCTGGAATTCTTCTTTAAGCTTTGAAAATGAAAGACAGAAGCTGATTGGTTGCCATTGGCAGCTGCTCAAGATATTTTGTCTGCTCCAATTTTTTTTAATTCTCCCCACTGTGTGCAGCTCAGTGATGATGTCACTGCTGCTTGTGTACTACAGTGTAATAACTACTATGGAAGTTTATATAAATGAAAGTTTTTATTCCCGGAGTTCAGCTTTAACTGTTTCCAGCAATATGCAATCTCTAAAGCTACCCATAGACTTCCCTAGATCAGCATACCCATATGAACCAACTTTGTTCTGAAAGATCTTTTCATAAGAATTAGGGATGCACCGACATATGGGCCACCGAAAAAACATATCGGCCGAAAATGGCACTTTTGGCATAATGCCGAAAGTGCCATTTTCCTGCCGATACATCGGCGCATCCCTGCTTTCTTTCCTCCCCGCTGGGCGCTGCTCTGTGTCCCAGCGGGGAGGAGAGAAACTGTGATAGCCGGCCAAGCCCTGAGAGAGGAGAGCGCTGTGAGCGGCCAGCGTCTCCTCCCACATTGCTCAGCCTCCTATCACAGTCCGGCAGAGCGGCGTGTGGGCGTTGACAGGCCGCGCTGTCACAGGAGGCTGAGCTCTCCTCCCTACACCGCTCAATCAGCCTCCTGTGACAGTGAGGATTCCTGTTAATTTATAACAGGGGATACAGAAAAATAGATTGAGGACTTTGTGTACTATCTGTTTAGACCCCTAATATTTCCCCAAAGCCCCTAAAAGTAAAGTAAAAAATATTTAATTATAAGAATGCATGTTTGGATTTCCAGAGCACACAAGCTTCTTCCTGTGGAGAAGAGAGTGGGAAGAATAAAAGGGCATCCAACTCATTAGTTATAGTCCACAGAACACTCTGCCAGGATATGGGTGGTAAGGGCCTTAAAGTGGCCCTGTCGGCACAAGATCACATGTTTGTAAAACATACCTACTAAAAGGTGACAGCATATACTTACAGTTCCAGTGGCATCTATGTGAAAAAGCTACAGCTTCACTGCTCACCATCCTCTGCAAGTATTTGACTGCTCAGATGGGTTGCATACTTAATTACCCAGCCGCTTGCTGTGGTTCCTCTTGCCAACCCGTATTTCCTATTTTGACATATAAGCCGGCAAGAGAAACTACTTTGAGAGGGGAAGCAGGTTATTCACATTCCTGAAGGCAGAGGATGGTGAGCAGTAAAGTGCCAGCTTTTTAGGTAATGTGCCAAATGAAAGGTAAATATATGCAGTCTTCTTTTTGCAGGTAAGTGACCTTTTGCTGACAGGGGCCCTTTACAGTGTATGGAAATGCACAACATTTTTGGATAGAGTATTGATTGATTAAGACCCCTGTTAAGTCTTTTCTTTCTGTTTTGTTGTCCCTTTCCCTTCACTTCCAGTGCCAGAGACACAGCAGGAAGTAAGATAGGGAGTAGATGTCTCCACTTAGGCCCCTTTCACACAAGCTGATCAGGAGAGGATCCGTGCCCAGCAGTACAGCACGGATGTCACCACTGTGACATCCATGTCAGTACATTTTTTTCCTCCATCTTGCGATGGATGAAAGAATGGAAACTACCGGACCCCATGTTGGTCTATGGGGAATCTGATGTAAATGGACATGTGTCTGTTTACATCAGATTACCCCTGTTCTGGCTGCTCCTGGGCCGGCAAAACAGATGTCTGATCCATCTGTTTCTCCGGGCCCAGCCAGAGTCGGTGATAAGCGGGTGTAAACCGGGTGTAGCCGTTTACGGACCCAATTCGACCGACCGCATGAAAGGGGCCTCATTGGCAGATTTCCCTCACCTTCCTTGACAACAGAACAGTGTTGAATTTCCCATCACTCCCTATACCAGAGACAACGGGCACCAGGACCAATAGTAAGTATGAATCCCTCCAGTCAGGACACATACAGCAATAAAATTGAGGTTCCAACCGTTACACATTCTACTAACATTTTATCATAGGGCTTTAGAGAAGAGAAGTCAGTGAGGGTGAGCCAATCAAGTGTCCCACAAATGTCTGTGCTGAATGGCTCAGTACACATGCGTATACTTCCAAATCCCCTATTCTTAACACTTTGTGCTGAGCCAGCTAAAACATGGAATACTCCAGTGGAACTACTGAGATGCATTGAGCACTGCTGAATATTGCCTGAAGTAACATGAGTGCTGGGTGCTCTTGTTCATCCTTCATCAGCATATATTAAACCTAAGAGGGAAAGCCAAATCAGACGTAGGGGCCATGTATAAATTAGTTGTATGACTGTACCATGGCACTTTTATAAACCACATTGGTGGACCTTATAAATACGTTCAGCCCCATTCATGTTAGGCTCCATTCACATAGGAGCGGTTGTCCCAACATATTCAGCCAGCCGAATACACACTGAGCTGCTCTAAACAGAAAAAAACAATGCATTGATTAATAATTTTGCGGCAGCCGCACGATACAAAACTGCATGGCCCACAAAATAGTACAAGCGTGGTAATATGGCGGATTCCGCACATTCGTGGCTATATAATAGCTGCAAATGAGTGGAATCCGTGCAGATTAAACATTTTAGCGTTTTCATCCCTCGCGGGAAATGCAAACGCTATATGTGAATGGAGCCTTAATAATATTTTTTTTTTTTTTAAAGTGCCAGATGCCAGTCAGCCCGGTCACAAGAGCTGTCAAAGTCATGTGACTGGCCTCTCCTCCTACCAGGGAGTCTTCTCCAAAACATTATCCAGAGATCATTCTATGGGACACACCACAGCCTGCATTTTTAAATCGCATGTAAAATGCTGGCATGTTTCGGTGCTGGCAATTAGAAAACCAAACATGGGATTGCACTCCATCACTGGAGTGAGCTTGGAGTGGCGGCTACTTTACAATACACACACAGGGTCCATGGGAAACAACAGAACCCACCCTTCAGAAGGAAGGACAGTGTCAGCACCAATTCAGAGATGATTTGAAGATCTACAGCTAAGTGATACATAAATCAGTTACATTTTTGTTAATACTTAGGGTACTTGAATGCATTTTTAAGATTTAACTCCTGAAGTTAATGTCACTTTAAAATAAAAATAAGCATGCACTTGAGAAAAATTATTCTAAATAAAAATAAACATGCACTATGTAAATATTATTCTAAATAAAAAAAAACAAGCACTATAAAATATTATTCTAAAAGAAAATAAACATGCTTTATAATTATTATGTGAAATAAAAATAAGCAAGCATTATACATTTTTTTATTCTAAATGAAAATAAGCATTCCCTATATAAATATTAGTCTAAATTTAAAAAAAAAAAAACAAGCATTATAGAATTTGTTTACGAAATAAATAAATAAGCAATATAAACAAATATTATTGTAAAAACAGAAGCAGTCACTATAGAATATTTCCCCAGCAGGTGTACGGCAGCATCCTAGCTGAAGAGTGTTGGGGTTGTGTGCGTGCTGTGATGTGATGTGCACTCATATAGCTGTTGCTGACTTTCCAGCACACACACACAGTGCCCCCTCCTAGCAGAGGCTCCTCTCTCTCCCCCGGCTGGGTGTGTAGAGCGAGGCGTGTCCTGTATCCAGCGTCCAGAGTACAGTCTGCGCCGACACACCGGGGAGAAGGGGGACACCGTTTCAGGGGGGTGCACACAGATCACCGCTCACACACAACTCCGACACACCATGGGCTTAGAAAAGGAGAAAGCTGACGCTCGTATATTCATGGATGAGGATGAGTTCAACCGCTCCAATATGCCGATGCTGACAGAGAAGTCGTATGATACTAATCACCTGGATCGGGACCCCCACAATCTGAACAGCCACCTCAAGGTAAGGGGACACTGATCTAAGGGACATCACAATTTGGGACTTTGCCACCACTTTCCTGAATGCTGAACCCTTTTTATATACAATTCTGAAATGTTTCTGTATCTCTTTATGTGGCAAAGACAATAAGGCTCCAGCGATTTTGATTTTACCTTGCCTGCTGCTACTTGTAGTTCTGTAACCCAGGACTGAAATACTTGTGTAATAGCGGTGTCTCAGTTTTGCTGACACTTGTAGTTCAGTTACTCAGTACTTATTAGCTTGGGATCAGTTCTGCTGCTACTTTTAATTATGTTACCCAAGGCTGAAATACTTGTTTTATAGTTGAGTCTAAGTTCTGCTCCAACTTATAGTTAGGTTACCCAAGACTGCAACACTTGTGTATTAGTTGGGAATCAGTTCTGCTGCCACTTCTAGTTCTGTTACCTAAGACTGCAATACTTGTGTATTAGTTGGGGATCAGTTCTGCTGCCACTTGTAGTTCTGTTACCAAAGACTGCAATGCTTGTGTATTAGTTGGGGATCAGTTCTGCTGCCACTTGTAGTTCTATTACCAAAGACTGCAACACATGTGTATTAATTGAGGATCAGTTCTGCTGCCACTTGTTCTATTAACAAAGACTGCAACACTTGTGTACTAGTTGGGGATCGGTTCTGCTGCCACTTGTGGTTCTATTACCAAAGACTGCCATACTTGTGTATTAGCTGTGGTTTGGTTCTGCTGTCACTTGTAGTTCTGCTACCAAATACTGCAATACATGTGTATTAGTTGGGGGTTAGTTCTGCTGTCACTTGTAGTTCTGCTACCAAAGACTGCAATGTATGAGCAATGGTTGAGTCTCAGTTCTGCTACCACTTGTAATTCTGTTACCTAAGACTGCATTGCTTGTGTATTAGTTGGGGATCAGTTCTTAGACAACATATGGTTTAGTTACCCAAGCCTGCAATACTTGTGTATTAGTTGGGGATTAGTCCTGCTGCTACTTATAGTTCTGTTATCAAAGATTGCACTACTTGCGTATTAGTTGGGCATCAGTTCTGCTGCCTCTTGTAGTTCTGTTACCAAAGACTGCAATGCCTGTGTATTAGTTGGAGATCAGTTCTGCTGCCACTTATAGTTAACCAAGGCTGAAATACATGTGTAATAGTTGAGTCTCAGTTCTGCTTCTACTTGTAGTGCAGGTACCCAAGACTGCAATGATATTTGAGTGTGATTTCTGCTAATAACGCTCTCTGTTTGTTTTTGTGTTTTCCAGCTAGGCTTTGAAGATCTGATCGCAGAGCCAGAGACCACTCACAGCTTTGATAAGGTGTGGATCTGCAGCACTGCACTATATGAAATCAGTAAATACCTTATCTACAAGGTGCTCACCCTGCTCCTCGCCATCCCACTGGCCTTTGTTATTGGAGTGCTCTTCGCCATCCTCAGCTGCCTGCACATTTGGTAATTCATCTATTTGATTTTCCTGATATCATTTTATTTTTAGTTGTAGCAATGGACTGCTTAATTTTATAATTATACTTCCATATGTACATATTATTATTGTGTGGGCAGTTTACAATATATCAGCACTCCCTAGAAGTGACCACACACAGGTAGGCCTAGCCAAGCAACACAGCAGTGGGATCCTGTGGGATTCAAACCCACTGAAGGTACTGAAACACACACTGCTTGCAAGGTAAAACATATGTTTGATATAGTTATATAGCCTGATTGTATATATTTGAATAACAGTTTAAATGGACCTTTAAATGTAATGCATAGAGCTTTCACTACAGGGTGCTGCATAGGTTAATAAAGACAAAGCATATCTAAACCCAAAAACAAAGCATAAAATGTATTGTAGTTTACAGCTTGCGGTATACTGAGACGCCACAGCCGGAGCGGATCCCGACAATTATGTCTGGATCCACCCAGCTGCGTGAGTGACAGCTGGCTCTGCCTATCTAGAGGCAGAGCCAGCTGTACCCGCCCCCTCCCGCGTCCGTTCTGCCAGTCAGCGCTGGAGGATCGGACAGGGGAGGGGGGAATCCAGTCCCTCCCCTGTCACGGCTCTCTGCCGACACAGGATCGAGAAGTGAGCGACACCACAGCTGAAGTGGATCCCGACAATTATGTCTGGATCCGCCCAGCTGCATGACTGACAGCTGGCTCTGCCTACCTAGAGGCAGAGCCAGCTGTACCCGCCCCCTCCCCTGTCCGTTCCGCCAGTCAGGGGAGGGGGGAATCTAGTCCCTCCCCTGTCACGGCTCTCTGCCGGAACAGGATCGAGAAGTGAGCGAGCCCCGGTATGTGTTCGCTCACTTCCCAATCTACTGAGCCGACCTGTGACAGTCTCATTGTCACAGGTCGGCTAGAACTATGAGGCTGAGTGAAAATCACTCACTTCATAGTTCTCCTTTAAAGCAAGAAGCAAGCATGTAGGCATGACCAGCAGGCAATGTGCACTTTTAGAAGGAGAGGTCAGCAGTGGTCACTGTCTCTCATGACAGGTTACATGAGAGAAATATGGAGGCAGCCATTGCTGGCCTTGATCTGAAAATCCTAGTTGTCTGGGTTGGGTGTGACTAATATATAACAGACCTAGAACAGTCATACAGAAAATGTAAGCAAAAGATCAGAACTCCTTGGAGCTGATTTACTAAAGGCAGATAGGCTGTTGCACGGGGATATGCACATTGCAGGAGTTTCCCTTAGCTTAGTGAATGTGGTGAAAATTTGCTTTTGCAAAGAATACCCAATTGTGTGCAAAGAAAATATAAAAACAGTATCTTTGCTTGGGTATGATTGGCTGATGGAAGTCAGTGGGGCTCCACCTCATTCACAAAGCTAAGGGGAAACTTCCCCTGCAACGTGCAAATACCTTTTCAAAGTGAACAGCCTATTTGCTTTTAGTAAATAAACTATGTTATCTCTATAGTTATTACAAGTCAGTTGCTAAAAAATATTGAAGCTAAAAGCATCATCATGTCAGCTAGACATCCAGCATTCTCGGAAATCAGCAAAAGCATCCATCATCTTTTGCTCATGACAGGCGGCTTCAGGTTTTGTGCCTGAATTTGGTCACATGGGTCATGGGCCTCACAATAGACTTACATTGCTTTTAATTCAAATAGGCAATTAATAAGGAGGAAAAAGTACTCCTCAACCTGATTGGCTGTTGGAAGTGAATAAAAGTGCACTGGCCTTTGGAATCTGAAGCAGACAAATTCTCAAATGTAATCTAATTTGATACAATCCAGTTATTGCAAGTTCTCAATGCTTTTTGAGATATTAGATGGCAAGTAAAGTTATTTCTAGCTAAAGAAAGACAGAGAGTGATTCCTGTATTAGGTCCTCCATGCTTTGTAAAGCATAATGGATCTTGTGATCACTACAGAGTATGCACCGGTATTAAAAGGGACACTCTAAATGTGACTAAAGTACCCCCTAATGCTCCTCTTATGACAGATATATGGGAAGGCCATTTTAGTCTATGGCTCCGAGGGATCACATGTAGTACTTTGTAATCCTCTGGAAAACATGTTGGAAAGATACTAGAAGGACCGCGCAGAGTGGAGGACATAGTTCCCAACTTCCAGAGATGGGACGGAGGGACCTCTAAGCCTCATGGGTTAATTGAAGTGGGTTTGAGTCAATACGCAAGGGTTGACACATTTGGCCTAATATAATGAGCATGCCAAAAGACGGACAGTATGGGGGAAAATACTTTTTAGTCACTTTACATTGAATAACTACTTTAAAGCGACCCTGCCTCTCTCCTGTGTCCCTTGTTATGCTCAGAGGTCCCTCCCGCTTACCATATGTCATTAGTGTGTCCTGTATTATGCAGAGACTTTGATGGATGATTTTTCTTCATTGGATTTGTGTTTAGCATTTATTTTTGCAACAGCGTAGCTTTAAGTAAGTCTTAAGTAGAACCGAAGGGCTGCTGTTCAAGCTATTCACTATAGCCCGTACAGCTCCCGAAGTTGGCCGAGCGGCTCGGTGGAGCCGAAGGCATATGCTTTGGCTCGACTGAGCCGAGATGAAAGCCGAAGCGGGCTGAACGGCCGGCCATTGGCCGGCCAAAAAACCTGCTACTGACAGCTGGGCGGAGCCAGCTGTCATCTCATGGCTGGCTTCGGCCACTTGAAATGACATATCAGCGTCCCCTGGTTACCAGGTAATCAGGGGACGCTGAACTGTCATTACAGCGTCCCCTGGTTACCTGGTAACCAGGGGATGCTGAACTGTCATTACAGTGAGAGCTCAGCAGAACCGGCAGTGATATCACCGCCGGCTCCGCCGAGCTCTCATTGTAATGACAGTAGGTCCCGGCCAATAGGAAACAGTTGGGTGGAGCTAGCTGTCACTGCTAGCTCCGCCCAATAATTTTCGACTTTTTTCTTTCTACTTTCTTTTACTGTTTTTCTATTCAGCTCGGTACCTCGGCGGTACCGAGCCGAATGCCGCTTGGCGGCATTCGGCTATTCACTCACTGCTGTTCGGCCCCTATGAGAATAGGCCGAACAGCAGCGAGTAGGCTGCCGGAGGTTCCAACATATGGATCGGCTGAGTCGAATTCCTTCTGCACTTTTGCTCTGCATGTTCGGCCGACACGAAGCCAGCCAAAGCAAGCCGATGTACGGCTGATTTCAGCCGATGTAAGGCTGAAATCAGCTGTCCAAGCCTCAAGTGAATAGCCGAACAGCGTTTGGCTCACTTCATTTCGGATCGGTTATTCACACGGCAGCCTTCGGCAGCTTTGTGAATAACCCTGTATATCTTTGTAGCAAATCGCAATCAAAGGTGAAAGACTGCAGCGGGAACTGGTCTGCGTCAAATATTTGTGAACACAACTAAGATATGCACTACAGCAGGATTTCCATGGTGGTGTCTAGTGGTGGACAGAGTAACACAGGGACCCTATGCAAAACTAATTCTTGGGCCATCCTTTGATTTACTGCCAAAGTAAAAACATTCTCTGTGTATCAACTGACAGCTGGATAGAATAAAGCTATGTTCAGGTCCGTGTGCCAGTGAGAGGGGTCCCAGCAACCATTTGACCCATGTCTAGTATAAATTGGCCCTAAAAATAGCAAGGGGTCCTTGTGCAATTGCAAAATCTAAGCATATGGTATGCCTGCCCAGTTGTGAAATCTCTGAGCAGGCATGCTGACCCTGGATAAAGCCTAAACGATGATGGCTCAGTCCTTCTGGAGCAAAGATTGGATTCATCTATTGTTAGGGGTGGTACTGTGGTCTCTGTGAGAGGTAATAAATAAGTGTTATGCTTTACTATGCATGCAAATAAATCTGAACTCCAGGTATAAATATGTATATATACATACGTTGGTAGGGCAGATGGATTCTGTAAAACACTGTAGTACCCGGCACTACTTCAGTGGTTTACAGTGATTTTTTCAGTGCTGTACTGCTGCTGTGTTGAGCGACTTCCCCTGCTGCTAAAACACAGGGGGTTCGCTAGCTCGGCACAGCAGCCATTCAGCAAATGTATCTACAGTATATGATTGAATACTAGGCATTCTCTGATTGGACAAGAGGCGCTGATGGGGTGGTGGAAGGGTCATTGGGGAAGGGAGGATAAAAAAAAAGTTGAGAAATGCTGGTCTAAGACCTTTTAAATATGGAAAATATGTAAATATGACGTATTATCAAGACACACATTGTCTGTACCTCCAGAGATGCCTTATCTCTCATGGCTGACCTGTGTTTGCCCTTGGTCTAGGCCCTAGACTCTAGGGGACGCATTTCTGTCATTGTCTGTGCCTGTTTTAAGTGGGAAGGTGAATAGACCATCTGTGTGTAAAGTCAGGTTTTATAGAATGGGCACTAACATGCAAATGATCATCCACAAATGCAAGACTTACTACCATATTTGGGAATTTAGTTTTTTGGCATAGTAATGTTGTGATCATGTTGAATAACTTTGAACAATTTAAGGCTCTACTAGGGGGATACACAAAATCTATCTGTTGAATCACCCATACCTCCATATAGAAGTATGTGAAAACAAAAAGCAGCCCCAGATAAAAAAATTTGTGCAGATACATTTGCCATTGTATGTCCTTCAAAATCATTCTGGACATAAAATCTCACCACATTGCACTGAAAATGCATGCTGGTTTACATGCTTTAATGTGTCAAACATCCTGGCTCCTTAAGGTGTATCTAAATCCATTTTTTGTGGTTTTTCAATAACGGAATAATTAAAACCCTTACCAAGTTTGTTTTGCTGTCTGTAAGCCACTGGTGAGATTTCTATCAGATCCTGTGTCTGACACACAAAAGGAAGTGAAAGGGAATCTCCAATGTAAAGGAAAACCTCTCAGTCAGCTGATACTAAAACAAGTGTCCCCTTTGGAAGATTACTCTTCTATTTATGTGCTGGTGACAACTTAAAATTGTAAACTTAAAAGTGACCCTAAACTCAGGAGTTAAATCTTAAAAATGCATTCAAGTATGTTAACTAATAACAAAAATGTATCTTATTTGTACATCACTAAACTAAATGTGAGTTTGTAGTTCATCACGGGAGTGAGCTTGGAGCGGTGGCTACTTTACAACACACACAGGGACTATAGGGAATGAAAGTAGCCACCCTCCAAAGGGAAGGGCAGTGTTAGCACAAATTCAGAGATGATTGGAGGAGCCGAGTGATGCACTAATAAGGTACAGTATTGTTAATAGTTAGGGTACTTGAATACATTTTTAAGATTTTAATTCTTAGTTTAGTGTCACTTTCAGTAAAATGACTTTATTTATCTGGTATGCTAGCTCTTTCTAGCATTGGATTTTGACAGTACCAACATCAGCCAAGCACCCAAAACCAGACAGGAGCCATGTTGTGTGACCTCACACATATACTGATGACCCGAAAGCTTCAACCAACTTGCAGTCACATTTAGATAACTGACCATAACTTTAACACTATGGAGGTTATTAAAAAAAATATGGGAAGTGAAGTGAGCTTATTTTCCCTTCAAACATGCAGTTATGTGCAGGCACAGATAAGGGAACCTTGAGCTATTCATATGAAAGTGGTTCAATTAGAGTTGTTTTATGTTTGTGTTTTCACTCATTGCTTTATTATACTTGGTACAATCACAATAGTAGCATAGCAATTACATTATTTGGAATTTATTCCAATCTCTGTTGACATTTTTCCACAGATGATGAAAAACTATAACTTTGTTGTTTTGTTTTCAGGTTCGTTATGCCATTTGTGAGGACCTGTCTTATGGTATTACCATCTGTGCAAGCAATATGGAAGGGTGTTACAGATAGCCTCATAGCCCCTTTATTTGCAAGTATGGGGCGGTGTTTTTCATCTGTTAGCGTGCGAGTAGACAACAGTTAGGCTTTTCTGTACAGTTCAGATGTCATGAATATGCCAAATGTCAATTAAATACTGCTTAGTACTTCACTAGCCTGCTGAATATGTACTGTTCTTGAAATATGGCCCTAACACTTCTATGTGTACATTCCAGTTCTACTTCAGATCCCACTAGAAATATAGGTGCAAGTCTGTCTCACTACCTCCTGATGTTGGGAACATTTACTTGTTGTAATATATGATGTAAGATCTTTATAAAAAGCAGAAAACCAGGGGTCTGCCCTCAGACATTTCGTAAGAGCTTGCAAAATTGATATCTGTAAACGGTTAGAGCAGAAGGGTGCCAATGCGATTTTCTATCACAGAGTTTTAGACAATTGTTGTGGTGGCCATCATGTTTGGAGTTTACTATCATAATCTAGATTGAGTCCTTAAGGATCTATGGGTCATCAGTACATGTACACCTATTGGCCTTTGTGGCGAATTACTACTTCTTTTTACATTTTCTTCAAGAAGTTTCAGTTTTAGCAACTAAAAAAGAAAACGCAAAATATGTTATGATTATTTCAATTCTTTGAACCAGAGGTCCCTAACCTTTGTCAGATTGTGAATCACAATCAGATGTAGCAGTTTGTAGTAAACCACACTGAGTGTATAAAAGTATTGCTTAGATACATAAAGCAATCCTTGTTTGGCTTCAAGCTTTTATGATGTCACATACACTTGAAACCCACATATGGCTCCTCAGTTACTGGTAAAGGGCCATGACAAGACCCCCTATTATCTATTTTATAGATGTAATATTCCTAAAGTCCCTAAATAAGAAAAATGATTAAAATAAATTCTATTTAACCAAGGCTACACTGATTGGTTTGTTTTTTATAGGGCAATGTAATTACATGGCCAGAATATCTTTCACTGGCTAGAGATAAATAATACGTTGTCCATGAGCCCAGAACAGTCCTATATTCTACTAGTCATGAGTGGAACAGACTACTTTTTGAGGCACTGACCCAAGTAAGTATGCAGACCACATGTTCTGACTAACTTACTTCATGCTTGTTTTGGGTCAGTGACTCCAAAGTATTGAAGCCACACACAGTCAGGCAACTAGCATTTCAGAAGAAGGTCAGCACTAGAAGCCTACAGGTTTCCTTTAATAGAAAATGTCAAAGAGATGCATTGGTATAGTGATCCTAATATACATGACATTTTAATCAGCTGACACTGGATGTGCATTATTTATAAAGCTATTTACAGATGTAATTAAGTTAGCATTCCTATATGCTTGTCTTCAAGGATACAAAAGAAGCAGAAGTTAAACATGTATGAGTCAATATTTCTACCGCTTACTACTACTTTCCCTTAGCAAGACAGAATCTCTTATTTGTTATATATACTTTGATTGGACTAGGACACTATTTCTTTGGACATTAATAAAAAAGATGTTTTTCTTGTATATTAACTGAAATGCACTGAATGGTATGCTTGTACATTTTAAATAAATTGATTGAAGTATTTTGTTTATATCATTTGAGTATTTTAATTAGAGTATTTCTGCCATTACTTTTGATATGTCAGTAATGTTTTAAGCTGGTCACAATCTAATCATAAAATGTTCTTTTTGGCTGAATGTGTGATACTTTGGTTAAAAAGAGGTTAATAGCCGTGTGGCTAGGTTTACAATCTGCTTAGAGCTAATGAAAAATGTTTCAGCTTACCAAATCACTGCAACTTCATCCAAATGTTAGGAATACATTGGATCCTAAGTGAGCACACACCCATAAATTTAGTAGATCATATATCTATGCATATACAGTATATACATACATATGTACAGTATATGTGGTCCATATAGCCCTGCTGTATGGCTACATAAAATAGGGAGATTGATCCTACAATTCTGCAGAATGTCACTAATCTATTACCTTTCTGCACTTTGGTCTATTAAAGGAGAACTATGAGGTGAGTGCTTTTCACTCACCTCATAGTTCTAGCCGACCTGTGACAATGAAACTGTCACAGGTAGGCTGAGTAGATTGGGAAGTGAGCGAACACATACCGGGGCTCGCTCACTTCTCGATCCTGTTCCGGCAGAGAGCCGTGACAGGGGAGGGACTAGACTCCCCCCTCCCCTGACTGGCGGAACGGACAGGGGAGGGGGCGGGTACAGCTGGCTCTGCCTCTAGGTAGGCAGAGCCAGCTGTCAGTCATGCAGCTGGGCGGATCCAGACATAATTGTCGGGATCCACTTCAGCTGTGGTGTCTTAGTATACCGCAAGCTACAGTTCGCGGTATACTGAGCCTAGGATGACGGGAGGACGCTAGTTTGTGTCCTCCCGTTACCCTAAGGAGAACTATGGGGAAAAGCCTTAACCCCAAAATTCTCCTTTAAGGAATGTCACCAGACTGTGGATTCCCACCCTTTCTTTCATTATGCCAAGGTACCTCCACCTCCTGCCCATCCACTTATAGAATAGGCACTTTGTTACATACCTGATTTTAGCTTCACAGTGTATCATTACCCATATTAAGGTACATAAACTGCCAGCAACAAGAGATGCAAAACAGCTTCAATTCCTGATGTAAAGCTCAGGTCCCTTTATGTGTCAGTAAAATCCAATCCAATCTAAGTGATGGACTGATAGCAATACAAAGGACTTAGAAGCGGGCAGTCCCAAACATAACTTCAGGAACTGAAATTAGTATTTGCATATTAGACTTTCAGGATTTTCAGGGCACTCTAGAACCCACCGAAAGGCATTCACATTCACCTTTATCTGCTTGCATTTTTTTCTGCCAGCAGTTTCTGACCTAGAATGTCGCTAAAAGTTCACAATAACTGGCAAGTGGCAACTCATTGTAAGGATAGATTTATTGTAATGAACTAAATAAAAAATGGTGAAAGTTTTTACATTTTTGCCTGGAGTTATTTTTAATATTTACCCGTAGCGCCATAGGAACAAATGCAAACAATTCATGTAAAACATTTGTGTAAATACCTGTAACCAATATATTTAGAACAGACCGTATCACATTGTTGCAGTCTGTCAAACCTTTCATATTTTGATTGGTGTTCCATAGAAAAGAATACCTACAGCAAGCACAGACGGATTCTGCCAGAGTCAGGAAAACAGATCATGTACAAAACATGTCACATCTTGGTAGCTGGTTTATTAAAAAAATCTTAGAGACTGAGTACACAAAATGTTAGCTTTAAGGGCAGCGAAAATCAAGCACAATATGCATACCTGCTTATATTTGTGTCAGGGTCAATCCACTGTTCAGACTCAATAACCACTAATATAATGAAATCCAACTTTATTAACCACTTTTCAAGGAAGTTATAGGAAATTATAAATAATCTTTTACTATGTGCCAGATTATCCAATTTGAAAAATGTAGCAGTTTCCCTAACTGGGACCAAACATGTAAATGTAGTATCAAAGGGGTCAGGCAAAGTATATTCAGATACAAGCCATGGATCAACACTAGTTTGGTAAATATGGTACCAGAGGAGTTATACAAAGCAGGATTAGAAAGCAAGCCACAGTACTTAAGAAAGGGTCAATCAGGCAAACATAAATAAACAAAAGTATGAAAATCTTCAGGCAAGAGTAAACTCTGCTTTAGATATCCAGACTGGGGCATCTGCAGTCCTTTTAAAGAAGATCCAGCTAATCAGAAGTCAGGAGGATATACATTAATGTGCTTGGACACCCAAATACACATGAAATGGAGTAAGAGGAGAGGACAATAGCTAGACAGGAGGTACCTGAGCGGACGGCAAAGGGTATACAGAGAGATGGGCAGCTGAACACCCAGCAGTAGACCAAGCAACAAATTAGCAACTAATAGATTACTGACCATCAGCCAACAGTAATTCCATGACAGGAAGTAAAGGGAAATCTTTCAGTAAGGAAACAATAGAGAGCAGGAAGGTTAAAAGTGTTGTCCCTGTTGGAGATTTCTCTCACTTTCTGTCAACAGTGACAACATTATCACTGGGAGAGATAATGTTGTGAACATTTTCCAGTTGGGGCATAGACAGGAATGAAAAAAATGGATAGCATGTTATTTCTTGATATATGTTAGTCACAGGGAACTTTTGGCACCAACAAAATATATGTTCAAATCACACTAAAAAGTAAACAATTCTTAATCTAAATTCTGAAACCAACTTCCAAATGTACTATTGAATTTAAATCAGCCCCTAAATCTAATCCTTGAGATGACCCCTCTTTATTTCTTAACCTTAATCATTAACCTGAATTATTTCCTAAAACCAAGCCTTAACCCAGTAATCATCTAATCAAAAAAGATTATTGCAATAAAAACTGTTCTATCGCAGCAACATATACCTAGGATTTTAGCCCTAGAGCAAAATATCTTCTGCACCCAAATCTTCACTGCCCAGTTTACTTGACTGATAATTTCCAATCCATGAACATAGATCCAAAAGGAACCAACAATATAAAAAGCAAGAAGAGATCACAGAGGAAACTTCACAGTGGTGCCTCCCTGGAAAGAATTGGATGCTATAATGACCCCTCACCCAGCAATAAATTCCTGACTTTGGGTGGAGTTCCTAAAAGTGTCAAGGAGTCCAAAGCTGCCATTTCACATTCTGGCAGACACTGACACGTTCTTTATACCTCAGCTTCTTTTACATTTCTGGGACTTCAGTGGCAAAATAACTGTTACTTCAAGCTCTGCTTTTCCAGCCAAGGAGTCTAACTTGACCAGATGCAATTTCCATAACAAAAATTAACAAGGAATATTACAGAGTAGTGAGCCTGTAATAGCTGAGGTAGGTAGATGAACATTAGGACTAAGCCTTTAAAACTACATTCCCAAGGCATAATGGACAATATAATTTTGAACCATCGTCTGGACGGTTTGAGGCCATTATGACATCTAGAACAGTAAGAAAAAGTTCTTGTATTTTTTAAATGCCTTTTTACCTCACAATGGCAGTGCCTTAATTAGAAGCTCTCCAGTATACCAATATCCTTCACAGATCCCTATTATGTTACAGTTATGCTAAGCTTTACAAGGACTATTAGGATGATAAATCTCATGTCTCTTATGACCTTTTATCCCTCAGCCTTATTTGGTAAAAACCAATTCAAACATCTGTAGTTAAATAGCGGTTATTTTTAGTATTCACTATCAAGCAGTTCTAAAAAGAACTAGCCAATTGCTGAGGATCTGCCAAGATTTAACTGGATCAGATTTCTCCCTTTTAATATGAAATATGTTTTATTATTTCACACGCTCTGTTAAATTAACCACATTGCCAGTTTATTTATTCATTGATGTAAATGGTTTCAAACCTACTGCGCTGTGTTATATGTCCATGTCTTAAGAGCTCTCTATGTTATACACCATTAAAAAGTATACATCCATTTGCAAGGTAAAAGCTATACGGTTAAACATTGTGACCATCCCTGAAAAAGAATGGAATATTGGAACATGTTCTCATGGAAATATTTTTCTCTGTTTACGGGAATGCTTACCATCAGTTGCCATGATTTCGTACATTTTCCATGCCTTTCATTTGTGCGGATTTAAAGTAATGTAAGTATTTCTGTGACTGTTCCTAACCCATTTGTAGCTGTAGACTTAAAGAAAGCAGAAGCGGAGCTAATTTAACCCATTAAACTGTAATCAGTTAGAATGCATCATGGAATTCATAACATTTGCGTGTTTTGTCAGAGAGCTGTGAAACACTGCTACACATGCAAATATCTTTTTATCTATAAATATTACACGCTAAATGCTGCATTTTACATGGGATCAAAGGTAATTCTTGTATAACACATAATTAACTTTAATCAAGTTTGTCAGACACCATAAAAAGTTTAATGCCAAGTTGCATAGCCCTTAAAGTTTATGTAAAGCAAAATCGTTTTTTTTTGGTGTGTTAGTCCTAAAAAGAGAGTGGAACGTTTAGAACCTCTGTCAGGAAATCTGACATTTTTGAGTTGTCACAGGAATGGGAGGGAAGAGAAAATCTTCCTATGGGGAAGCTTGTTCTGGTGACAACTGACTAAGAAGATATCCTCTTACTTTGAAGAGATATCCTCTAACGTCCTCCAGTGTCTTTGGGGCAGAAAGTTAAGGGAAAGTCCACTTACAGGACAGAGATAGCAACAAAAAAATGACAATGGGCTTACCCATTCCCTAATTTAATTACACTTTGTCTGGTGACAAATGGCTGAGAACGGATATTCTCTCACTTGCAAGAAATCTCTAACTTTCTTAAATGTCTCTGGGGCAGAAAATTAAAGAAGAACTCTGGGGGCAATTATTATTAACTCTTGCATTGGGGTTACCCCCACAGTCCAAGGGTTAACTAATTATTTGTGTCTAGGGAGGACATTTAAAAAGTTATACTCACCTGATACTCTGAGCCGGCTTGCTCTTAGACCAGTCCCTGGAGCCTCTCTCCCCCTTTGCTGCATGGGTCTATGGTCCCGTAAATCATTGCGTTCTATACATAGTCTATTGGACATGAGGACGCCAAGGGGCATTCCATCGCTGCAGTGTAGGAGGGGACAGGCTGGAGGGATGGCTGTCACAGCCAGTCGGCTCAGAGGATCAGGTGAGTATAACTTTGTTAGCTCCCTAGGCCAAAATGAGCAGTTAACCCTTGCTGTGCGCTGCGGGGGGTAGCCACACAGCAAGCACTAATAATAGTTTTCCCTGGAGTACTGCTTTAAGGCAAATCTCCCTGACAGGACACAGAGAGCAACCAAAAATGGACTTAACCATTCCCTAATGTATTTAAAACTACAAAAATTGGGGTTTTACATTCACTTTAAATGAATGTTGAGCCAAAGGGTTAGTGATTCATTTGGTTTGATTCATGTGTTTGCTGTGTTTTTCAAGTAATGTAGATTTTTAATATAGCCAAACAAGTATTCACATTATGGCTCCTGCTCCTGTCTACTACTTCCCTGATGGAGCCACAATCATGCAGAAGAGCAAATGGCACAGTCTCTGAAAACAGTGCAGGAGCCAGTACAAAGTCATATGTCCAATTGAAGTTAACACGATTTTCACATAATATAAAACACACACACATACACTAACACCAAGAGCGAAAATCCTTTTTTATCAATAGCACAATGCCCTTTAATCAAAAAGTGGTTTTCAGATTATTAAATTGGGGTTCCATTTCTATTGTATTATGCGTCATGGCCTCCTAATGTTAGAAACAAAAACCTGTCTAGACTGAAATGTTATATACCTACGTAATTTATCATTGTCAACATACAGCAGGCACCTATGCTTGGACTTTAGATCCTTTCTAATTGTTAGCACCCTAGGTACCTGGGATGCCAAATGCTCCAATATGCACTTACTTCATAGTTGATAGGTCTGCAGCCTGGTCTCACCCTTTCCTATATCCTAAGCCTCACTATTGACCAGTAATGCTGCCCATTACAGTACTTGGCCAACTGTGATATCTTGGAGATTGAAAGGGCAGGGAAATTATCACAATTCATTGGCTCAGAAAGTAAGCACCCATGAGGTCACTTATGTATTCCAAGAACCTGGGTGTTTACACTGAGAAAGGATATGAAGCTGTCCCTCTAGTGGTGCCTGTTTTGTGTTGACCTTTAAAAGGTGTCTTATGCGTTTTCTCTACACTTAAATTGGACATTTACTTAGTGTTAACATAAACTGTATGTTAAATTCTATGCTATATAATATTATGCTAAAGGAACCCTGTTGCTAACTTCCCAAAAAAAAAAAAAACACCCAACATTAGAAGATGCAAAGCTATGACTGCCGTTGGTATCCAACATTTCTGACTCTGTCAAACTACTAGTCCCCCACCACATGCTGTGGTTCCACCCATCAGCCCTTACGTCCTTGCATGCAGTGAGGGGCCAGGTATCCAACACACGTGGAAGTGTCACAATCCAGTTGTGGCTGCAGCTAGCCGGACATGTGAAAATTCATCATCATCTTTGACAGGATGCCTTTGTTTGACTTTTGGGAGTTAGTAACAGGATCACTTTAGGAGTCTAATTGGGATGGATAAATGAAAAGAAATAGAAGAACTGAAGTATTTATTTTTCTAGGGAAAATGCTGTTCCAGTTTACCTTCAGTGCTGCTCGTATTAGTGAAGCTCGGCCAGTCTGAGGTCTGGTTCTTCCCTTCATTAGCGATTACATGACTAACTACCTAATTAAAGGTTGACATTTGAGTATAGGTCCAATTTAATAACGTGCTTTTTTAATCAAAGTAAAAACTGAACTTGAAGCTTGCTAAATCCAAGACTTATAAATCATGGGAATGTAACTCAAAATCTGAAAAATACAAGTACCATACTTTATATGTCTGATCCATAAATCTGAGAAACATAATGCATTCAAACTAACTGATGCCATTAGTTATGATAGTAGACAAGCCTGTAGAAGTAAAAATAATACCAATTTGTCAGCTCCAATTGTTACCTAATCCCATGTGTTGTCATTGAAAGTATATGAATTAGTATCTTGTATCTTACCTCACCCTTTCTTCTTACCCTTTAGTAAAAACTGTCCTCTTTATAACCCATGATCTTCAACCACATTTAATAATCCTCTTACTGCTCAATACTCTGCTTTATTCAAAATAGATCACATCAATAGAGCACCTGAAAAAGTAGGAAAGAAAAATGCAGAACAGCATCTATTCTGTTTAAGTAATACAGTACTAAGAAAGAGTACATTGATGTACAGGTATAGCATACTTTTCTTGAAGATGAAAAGTTTTGTGGATCACGGCACCTTATTTTGTTCTGGTGTTTCATGAGCCCTGGGGATGTGTCTGAGCTCAACAGGGCTGTCATCTATGCCAAAACCAAGCAGAACAAACATTGGAAGTGGGCCAGCAACAATCATGCTCGCAGCCACCTCCTTCCCCTCCTTTCCTAGCTGTTGCTGTACACAATGCTGTATCTTCCTCCCTCAGATCCCTTAAATCATACCTCCCTGAGATCTCATTCAGAGCTCCTGGCAACTGAAGGACAGCATGTCTGGTGGCAAATACATAGATGCAGAGGTAGGAGTGCTTAGAGTGGTCTCTTTCTGCTATCTCAGGCAGTAAGCTCATATATACTATGTAAAACGTTAAGGATTTGTCTTTAACACATGTGTACCTGCCATAAAGTACAGTGGGTCACGTGATAAGAGATAATTTACTGACTGTCAAAGCAGTAGCGAGAGATAGAGGAATTCGAAGTGGCACTACCCTGTGCAAACAATTTTCAGCTGATAGTCCTGACATGGAGATGTTAACTCCTTAAAAATATGTTTTTGTAATAAAATCTTTGTTTGGGGGAGTAGAGAAAGGAATGTAACTTGGCTTTCCTACCAAAGGATTTATTCTTCATGAGCTCTGTTTGGCACTCCTGTAACTTGTTGATCTGTGGTCGACAAGGGAGTTTAGGAAATGGCATTTGTTTTGCACAGGTGTGTTCATACCCACATGGTGAAGTCACTTATGTTCCGTAAAATGCACATCTAGCCTAACCTCAGGGCTCTGTGAATGGGAGAATTGTAAGCAGAGCTTCCACAGCAAGTCAAAATTACAGAGTTGTGCTGGAAAAGCTGTTCGACACTGCAAACCTTCAAAGTACATTTTTGAAGAATCCTGTGTTGCCTCTCCCTTTTCCACACTGAGGAAATCTGATTTATGCAAGTTGTTTCATAGTAGACAGACACATGAATAGAAAAAATACTGCTGAGCTGCAATAAAACGTTAAGATGGCTTTTATATACAATTACTAATTCATTTACTAGCCTTTAATAATGTAGATGTGTTAAATAACACCAAAGAAAGAGTATTAAGCTACATGCATACTATTTCTAATGAATGCTCAAAGCATGTTGGCCATAAATGGGTAGTGTAGGGGGTTAACTAACAAGAAAAAATGCTTGGTACAATCAAAATCTGACGTTTTGCAGGATGTTTTGGAATATTTTGCCTATTCTTCTAAGTAAAGAGTGCATACACTTGAGACAAATCCCTATCAAGTTCAGATGCAAAGTAGAGGTTTTAAGGTCAGGCAGGTCTTTAAAATATTGTTGAAGCAAATGTGAGATATCTATAGTTGTATCTTGTAACAGGTGCCTAAGGGTTAGTTGTGTAAAGGTCCATTAAATAGTGTTATAAAACAGCCTATTCCAGATCCATTGTTATTGAAGACCATAAATGCAAATTTTGAATTGGCATTTTATTATATTAAAGACATTTGCAAGATTGAAAGGTATCCCTTCCAAAGGCAAGTCATATTGATGGGATATTATGGAGAGTGTAAGCTGTATACTGATAATCATTCTGACTTGGACATTTCTGAGACTAAAGTAGTCAATTTAGCAAACAATGATTCCAGATTGGTTGCTCTTGTTTACTGAACTATTCACATTGATCTTGGCCTTATTAAAGTCTATTTAACCCTAAAACATATCATGTGTGACATCTCTATGCCAGACATAGATATCACTCACCAATATGTGCTAAACATATGCCATTGGTAACATGAGGCTTGGCCTAAATAATACGAGGATTAAAGCCAGTGATTTTAATGGGTGTATACGTTATTATGATTGGTCAACTTTTTAACTGGTAATTCCCATTCTTTATCTCATAAAATAACAGATGATAGTATGCTAGTGTGTTTATAATCTTCACGCATGGCTAGTTCCAGCATAGTAAATAGCCTATCATATTCTGCACCAGCATCATATGATAAATTAATTATTTTGATGATGTTTTGTCATCTTCAGCTAGCTGTGCTGGTGTGAAGGAATTCTACTAAAAGTTATTGCAATATTATTATAAAAAATAAGAATGATTTTACTGTTTTGTTGCATCACGCAGAGTTCAAGGTAAACACGGCCCTCATTATCATTCAAAAAACAAAGTAAATTAAACCTTAAACAATTGAGTAAGGAAGATGCTCAGAAGCAGGAATTTCCATGGACTAAAATGACTGAGAAGCACATATAAATTCTAATAAATAATTTTTTCTTGCTGTTCTGAAATTCAGACATTCTATTTAGTACATAGGAAAGTGGGGGCATGACAAGGTACAGCAGTGAAATGTGTCAAATACTTTTATATAACTCATCTAACTATACATAGTAGTTAGTATTTCTGCCTTGCAGCACTAGGATGCTCGGTTCCAATCCCAACAATGACACTATCTGTATGGAGCTTGCATGTTCTTTCTGTGCTTGTGTGGGTTTCCTCCTACACTCCAAAGACATGCTTGCAGGTTAATTGGCCCAACTGAGCATGCCTAAGAAGGCTGCCTCACCTCTTAGGCATGTTGTGCCCCCAGGAAGAAAAGGGCTGTAGAAATGCCAATTAAATATTAAGCATAGAAGTGTTCCTTTACAACTGAACTCCAGACGGTTGGCTAAATGCACAATGGAAATACAAGCATGGGTGCTGTTTTACCTAGGAAAGACTGTGTGTAACTGTGTGCAACCAATCTTGTGGCCACCACTATCACGCAACACAACCAGAACCTCAACTCCCACTGCAACAGCAGCACCACAGCTGCATCAAGACTAAAAGTCAAAACACAACCCACCTTGCTGACTGGTTAATGAAGCATCAGTAGCTGCTGCTCACTTATGAGGGCATTCACTGCTCACTCTGCTCTCTCCCCCTGCCAGCAAATGTGCACCACTGCAGAGCCTGACTGACTCCTACATGGCTATTCACAAAAGGGTGAAGATGTTGGAGAAGGCAGGAGAAGTGAACGATTTAGGACAAAATAGCTGAACTGGAAAGTGAGCTGAATTGGTAAATTTTTCCAGTTCAGCTATGTTGTCCTAGATTGTTCACTTCTCCTGCATTCTCCAAACTCTTCACCCTTTTGTCAATAACCCTGATAGTGTTGGTCTTCCCTTTTGTAGCCTCAATGCTGCAGTACAGACAACTACAGGGGGACAATGTTAAGAAATATGCAGGTACCGAAGGTAGCTACATTAAAAAATACATCTTTTTTTTTATTATTGAAGACATGCCTGCATTAATTTGTTATAGTGCTGCCTGGGGCTCTTCCTTAAAGTGACCCTGTCATTAACGAAAAACATCCTCAAACAGGCATATACTGTATGGGGAAAAAAACACAAATACTTACCTTTGCTGAATACAGTTGTGACATGGAGGTTGGAGGGAGTAACCACTGTGCTCTGTGGTGAGCCAAGGAGATGGACCCTCCCAGAAGTGTTGGTTTCCCAGTAGACTTCAACCGAGGATTTCTTGTGAACAGAGCGGTGTTCAGAGTGGGCAGTGGGAAAGGTAAGTATTTATGGTTGTCTTTTTTTTTGTTCAGGCAAGCCTGTATGGGGTTGTTTTTAGTTAATGACAAGGTCACTTAAAACATAAAAGGTAAATCTCAGTTACACCTCATTCAGAACCTTCACTCAGACAGTCCCCAGTACAGGGTCAGTATGACAATATCATTACACTGACACCATGCCGGTAGTACTTGGAGTTCACTGGAGTCTTCTACATACACATACAAAACAAATCCTTTCATTTAGCAGACTGCAGAGAGATGCTGTGTGGAGTTAGGTACTAAACAACAGGCTTGGGATTAGGTGTTCCCTAGAAGACCTGATTACATCTGATGGATGGCCTAGTAGACTGGGAAGCAATGGCAGGATGAGAAATCTTATGAATGTACTGTATGCACCTTCAACATTTTAGAATTTGACTGAAGTGTTCCTATTTTGTGCTTCAATGCAGCAGCATCACCCTTAATGTACTGATTGCAGAGATTAACCAGAGATTAACCAAATACTTTGCAGGACTTTGATACAAGGGACAGCCCTGAGCCTTCTTAAAGTCTACCATGTAACACTTGTTCACCCACTTACTGTATATGTCCTATATAATGTTTACCTTTCTGTCTAGAATTAGTTCTTGAAATAATAATATGCTGTGCTGTCACTGGTATCTTCCTGCAATGAAAAGAGCTTCATGAGAGGTAACAATGTATTCTCATCCGCCGCTTTAGGAGTCAGTTCAGTTTTTATTGTTACTTGTTGTGTTTCCTTTCTCACTCTTCCACTGTGAATAGTTTTCCTGCACATGAGGAAATATATTACAACCATATTTTGATGGAATTTTTTGTTCCTCTCACTGAAGACAGTTACCGGGTCCTAAAAAAAAAATAAAAAAAAAAATCACAAGTTCTTGTTTAATGTTTAGAGGGATTCTGATTTTCCAGTGCGAAAAGTCATTACAACGTACAGTAGGAATGCAAGAGCGTTTGTTATAGCAATAGTGTAAGTCTACCTCACTAGCTTACAAAATGGCTGAATTGTCTCAAATAAACTGTTATGACCTTTGCACTGTACGACCAATATTTCCATAGTGTGGACACAAGTATAAAACAATGGTTAGCTTTGTGCCTTCTGGAAAACCAACAGTTGTCACTGGAATCTATATGATACATTTCATAAAGTACACTACTTAAGAGACCTAAATAAAGGCACAGTGAAAAGTGCATTCGGTCTTCTATAATACCAAAATAGGGATGTTCAGATACCAGTTCAGATACCAGTGCCGATACTTGGCATTTTCATGAGAACTACCAGTGTTGCAGTGGTTGCAGCTGGTACCTGCCTCTGGTGCTTCCCCACTGTCCTGAAATTATTATGTATTGTTTTTAGAAAAACTGTCACATGACACTAAACAAAAATGTATCAGTACTTGTATCTGTGAGTACATGGGCAGGTATCAGTACTTGTACTTGAAAAAATGGTATTGGTGCATCCCTAATATATATTTATTTTTAGAAAATCATACATCAAAATAGAGATGCACAAATCCCAGGAGCTCCGTGTGCTCCTTAAAAATGACAGCTGTCTCCTAACTTTTGAGTTTTTCTCTAGTCTAGTCTTGGAGCTGGAAAAGTATTTGTACTTGTACTGAGTACGGTACTTGGTATCTGAACATCCCTACCTATAAATGTATGTCATTTAGTCACTGACAGTGTGTAGGTTTATGAGAAACCGAGTATGGAAACATGCTGCCCC